TTGTTTTTCCTTTTATTGCCTTTACTCTTAGTGTCAAATATTTTTTAATTCTGTTAAGACCAGTATCAGCGGTAGGGCGTTTGTCTTGCACGCAGCCAACATGGCCGACCCAAGTTTGATCCTCCGCCCCTCTCGGAGAGCCCGGCAAGCTACCGAGAGTATCTCGCCCGCACGGCAGAGCCTGGCAAGCTCCCCATGACGTATTCGATATGCCAGACACAGTAACAACAAAAGTCTCCAATGGAGACATTACTGGTCCCGCTCGAGCAAATCGATGATCAACAGGAGGGCCTTTACTTCGAGTGAAACACTATGATGTACAGTTGTAGACTTACAAACTTTTGTGCTTGGGTTTGAGTTATACAATGATCGAGTACCCATCCCTCCACCAGTGCCCATTCTCTACCACCAATGATCCTAGTAGCCCTCCACCCCCACACCCCACCCCTCTGTGGCAGGACATTCCCTTTTGCTCACTCTTTCCTTCAGGGTCTTGTAGTTTGCAAAAGAGGTATTGAGTGACCATTGTGTTCGGTCTATAGTCTACTTTCAGCACGCATCTCGCATCCCGAGCGAGTCCTCCAAACATCTTTGACTTGGTGATCCCTTCTCTGTCTGAGCTGCCTTTTCCCTCAGCATGTGCTGCGGACTTCCAAGCCCTGGAGCAGACTTCCTGGTACTTATCTCAACTATTCTTGGGTGTTCAACTCCCATTCTGTTACTTTATGTTCCCCAGATGAGTGCAGTCTTTCTGTGTCTGTCCCTCTCTTTCTTGTTCATTTCACTTAGCATGCTACTTTCCTTGTAGAACCCCTTGTATGTAAATTTCATGAATTCATCTTTTCTAACAGCTGTATAATATTCCATTGTGTGTGTAGATATATCAAAGTTTCTTTAATCAGTCATCTGTTCTCAGGCACTTGGGTTTTTTCCAAATTTTGGCTATTGTGAACAATGCAGCAATGAACATAGAAGTGCAGATGTCATAGAAATGTACTGTTTATTTTATAGTTTCAGGTTATATATATAAATCTCCGGTCCATTTTGAGTTATGTAGTGCAAGATGACAATTCATTTATTGTCTTATGTGTTCAGTTGTCCCAATACCTTTTACTAATGTATGTGTGCGCGCGCACACACACACACATAAACTATATTTGAGAGAGAGAAATCAAGAAGAGTGATGCATCTCACTTAATTCTCCTTTCTCATTATTGCTTTGGCTATTCTGGCTTGTCTGTGATTCCATACGAATTTCAGGATTTTTCTATACCTGTGTGTGGGAGTAGGGGACGGTGGAAGAGGGGTCAACCATTGGCATTTTCCCAGGAGATTGTATTGAGTCTGTATATTGGGTAGAATGGACATTGCTGTTAACAATAGCCTTCTAATCCATCAGTAGCGATTTTTGTGTATTCTGCAAAATTACAACATCATTAAATCTTACAATTTTTGGTTGACTTTAGGATTTTGTGATATCTGCAGATAACAGCCATTTTATTTTTTCAGTTTGGATATCTTTTATTACTTTTTTTCTTCCTAATTACATTACTCACAGGCACTGTGCTTTCCATTTCTTTGAGTCTTTGCACAACCCTTGAAGTATAAATACTATTCATACTCAGTCAACTCAGAACTTTAAGAAGAAAATTTCCCTGGATTGTACTACAGAAAATAGCTGAGCTAAGGTTTAGACTCTGAATCATTTTGATTCTAAAGCCCATGTTCTTAACTCTCAAATATGTTGGGCAAAGTTTGTTCTACTATTGAAAAAGTTAGAAGTAGTAAGGTTTATTTGGTTTTTTACCAGTTGAAGTAAGAAAGTGATGGGAGAAAGGTATATTCTGCCATTTTTAAGACATGGGGGTAACATTGAATTTAATAGTTTCATGTGTCTACAGTAGAATTTTTGGGACATAATCTGAATTTCTTGAACATTACAGTGTGAATTCTTTAATCTTTCTCTAAGACTTGATTAATAACTGAAAGGAGAAGCACAAAAATCTGTGGTTTATATCAAAGCTCCCTGAATGATTCTTACTCACACTAAAATTTGTTGCTTATTGGTGCAGTACAGAGAGTTAAAGTTGGTGAAAAGTCAAAAATGAGTATGGATAGGCAAAAGTTTGCTTCATTGTTCCTTTTGGTTAGAATTTTCTTTTTCCAGTACTTACTTGAAGTGCTTTTCTTTTGACCCATGCAAATACCAGCCTTCTTTTGAAAGAGAGTCTTATGGTCTATAGCTTCTAAGTTTTTCAAAGTCAAAATCTTGTAGCATTCCAGGAAATAACATTGAAATTTTTATTGCTGAATTTATCTTTTGTAACTATGGTCCACTGAAACATGTCTTTGGAACTCTTCTTAAACAATGTTTTCTTTGTGTGTGTGACTTGGTTTTAGATATTTTACCAATTTGTAATGGTAGCTTAATATACAAATTTATCATTTGAAGTTTGACTTTACCCAAATGAATAATGAAAAAGCAAGTTTTCTGAAGTTATAGGCCTAAAATATCTAGCTGCCTTTCAATTAATCTGGAATAAATTAAAGTATGAATTTTGTAAAGATATTTTCAAGTCATTTATCTATTCTCTTGTCAATTTTTTCATAGAACAATGGTGGGCATTATAAAATGCTCTTTGAAATTTGATTTATGAAGAGTTCACATAATTTACTGTATTTTCTAAAGAGAGATTACTTAGTTCAGTAAATTTATTCGGTGGAAAACTTGAAACACAGAGATGCTCTGATTTTTTGGTTTTTGCTCTGACTGTTTAAACCAGAATTTTACTGCTTTTAGTTTGTGAACCTTCAATAAAGATTTTGAAATTAAAGAATTTGAAAAACTAAGAGCCAAGAAAATCTCTCAGATTCTGAAATATTTGTTATTTGTGGTTTGGCGTATTTAATTTTATGTACTTTCCTCTGCATTTTTAATCTATATAGCAATAATAAGCATATATTAAGTTTGCATTCTAAAGCATTATTTTCATATTATTTGGTGTAACACTGAATTAGTATAAGATTTGTTACACTTTTCCTAAAACCTAAGTTTTTCTACCAGCACTGCTAGATGTGTGACCATGATTACTCCAAGTCTTAATTTTCTTATCCTGAATTGTGCTATTATGAGTAAATGAATAGAGGTGCCCTAACCTGGTATTTTGCTCTTATTAGATACTTACCTCCCTTCCTCCTTATATCTCTTGGAAGAATATTCCATACATGAAATCATTGACTGACATAATTTTGTTCAATGTTAAAACATTGATGAGAAAAAAAAAAACAGTCCCTGTCAGTGTTGAGCAGAACTGTAATTTAAAGATCTACTTTCATTGCTATAAGTTATTTTGCTTATACTTGTTGTTTTACAAGATGACATACAGATTTCTTTTTCTTTAAATAATTTTATTCTTATAAAACCCAAGAATGTTCCTTCAGGTTTCAGAATATTGTATCCCTGAAACATAGTTAATAAATAATTATAACTGACATTCACGGTGATTAAATTTTTTTTTTATAAAAGGGCTTAGGAAACATGTTTGCTTGCAATTCTTTGAAAATATGATCTAGAAGGGGCCGGAGCAATAAAAGAGCAGATAAGACACTTGCCTTAGACACTGCCAACCGGGGTTTTATCCTGGCACCCCATATGATCCCCAAAGTCTGCCAAGAATTAACCCTGAGCACCTCCTAGTGGCCCCAATGAAAAAAGAAAAGAATATGAGCTAGGGTTATATGAAAGAAATTTTATTTTTTATTCTCATTTGAATCTACTTTTCAAAATACAAGTTCAAGCCTGGAGAGAAGATTCAGTGGGCAGGAGGCATGGCTTAGTCCTTGGCACTGCATATTTTTCCCAACCCAGGAGTAGTATCTGAGTACCACTGGGTATGGTCACAAACCTAACGGGGAAAAATAGCTAGTCTTCTATATAATTATCTAGTTTTGTGTCTCTTGTAAGTGTAATCCCTAATTATGCTCTACAGATTTGTTTTGAAGAAGACTGGTTAACTCCCTTTTATAGGATCCAAATGGTAGCTGGCATTTTTTTTAAGCTGGTATGTTCCCGAATAAAGATTACAAGAATTCTACATCTATGTGTACATACACATACATTTTAAAACATTGTTGGTGGAAGATGTAAATTCATGCAGCCATTTTTGAAATGTGCTGTACATTTTCTTTGAGATGCTAGAGAAAGGGCTGGAGCGATAGCACAGCAGGTAGGGCATTTGCCTTGCACGTAGCCAACCCGGGTTTGATTCCTCTGTCCCTCTCGGAGAGCCTGGCAAGCTACCAAGAGTATCTCACCTGCACAGCAAAGCCTGGCAAGCTCTCCGTGATGTGTTCGATACGCCAAACACAGTAACAACAAGTCTCACAATGGAGACGTTACTGGGCCTGCTCGAGCAAATTGACAGATAATGGAAGCGCAATGCTACAGTGCAGTGCAGTGCTCGAGATAAAGGCAGTGTGATCCAGCGATTCCACTTTCGGATATCCAGAGTGTGCAAACATCAATACAAAAAAGTGAGAATGCACTGTAGTGTTTATTGCAGTATTTTTCCACCACAGCTGAAAAATAGAAGCAGCTGAAGTACCCATCAACAGATGATTGGAAGAAAATGTGATACAATGGAATCCTGGTCAGCTCTTTAGGGGGACAAATAATTGTGCTGTTTAAAACAAACAGGAATTGAAAAAGGATTATGTGAAGCAAAATAAGTCAGAAAACTGATTTTTGTGTGTGTACTATATGGATAAAATTGATGAACAATAGGAAGGCGAAACCCAGTAAACTTAGTTCTATATTAATAGAACTAAGACTACTAAGGAGAAAGGGAGTGGAGAAGGAAAAAAAGGCAAGGGGTCATAAAACTGGTTCATTCAATACGGTTTTAAAGATAACATAGTTAATGGGATAAAACATTCTTAAAAATATTATCCTTTCACCACCAAGCATAATTTTGCACTAATTCTTCCCTTTTATTCTCCAGAATGACCCTAGTGATCGAGAAGAAGATCTCAGCAAAAGACACGTGACAGACTCTGAGAATGATGAGCGCTCAAACCTTAATGCTAGCGACTCCGAGAGTGAGGAGCTTCACAGGCAAAAGGACAGTGACTCCGACTCTGAAGAGCAGGTGGAGCCTCCTGCAAGCGATTCTGAAAATGAGGACGTCAATCACCGTGGGAGTGACTCTGAGAGTGAGGAGGCCAGGAAATTACCTGCTAGTGACTCTGATAACGAGGAGCTTCTCAATGGACATGCCAGCGACTCTGAAAATGAAGATGCTGGGAAGCATCCTGCCAGTGATTCGGAAATGGAAGAGCTCCAAAAGAGTCCTGCCAGCGACTCTGAAATGGAGGAGGGCCTCAAGCCTCCAAACAGTGACTCAGAGAGTGAGGACCCACCAAGGCAACAAGCCAGTGACTCTGAAAATGAGGAGCTTCCCAAGCCTCGAGTTAGTGATTCTGAAAGTGAGGAGCTTCCCAAGCCTCGGATCAGTGACTCTGAGAGTGAGGAGCCTCAGAGAACTCAGGCCAGTGACTCTGAAAATGAGGAGCTTCCCAAGCCCCGGATCAGTGACTCCGAGAGCGAAGACCCACCAAGGCACCAGGCCAGTGACTCTGAAAATGAAGAGCTTCCCAAACCCCGAATTAGTGATTCGGAAAGTGAGGAACCCCCAAGGACCCAGGCCAGTGACTCTGACACAGAGGAGCTTCCTAAACCCCGAGTTAGTGACTCGGAGAGTGAGGAGCCTCAGAAGGGAGCTGCCAGCGATTCAGAAACTGAGAGTGCCTCCAGGCACAAACAGAAGCCTGTGTCAGATGATGACAGTGATGGGGAGAATAAGGGAGAGGAGATGGAAATGCAAAATGACTCCTTGCATTCCGATAGCCAAGTAGACAGGAAAAGGTTTCCTAGTTCTGAGAGTGAAGAAGAAGAACCCAAAAGGCCAAATATTGACAGTGATGAAGATGAAGAAAAAGAGGGGGAGGAGGAGAAAGTCGCAAAACGAAAAGCCGCTGTGCTTTCTGATAGTGAAGATGAGAAGTCATGTAAGACATAATTTGGGTGAAACAATTAGGATAAAATAACTTTATCCATGGCTTTACTTGTTTTCTAATGAGTAAAGCTAGGAGAATATCTTTTCTGGTATAGTAGGTATATAACTCTCATTCAGCTTAATTTTTTTTAAGCATCACGGTAACACCAATTCTCCCAGGTTCCTCTTCAGGTTTTTCTTAAGGTTGTTGCAAGTTTCAGTAGGAATTTGAAATTCTTACATATATTTTTGGGCTGGAGCGATAGCACAGCGGTAGGGTGTTTGCCTTACAAGCGGCCAACATGGCCGACCCGAGTTCGATTCCTCCGCCCCTTTCGGAGAGCCCGGCAAGCTACCGAGAGTATTTGATATGCCAGACACAGTAACAACAAAGTCTCCAATGGAGACATTACTGGGCCCGCTCGAGCAAATCGACGATCAACGGGAGGGCCTTTACCTTTACATATATTTTTACTGGTTTCAAAGAAAAATGTTTACATGGAAATCTGACAGTATCTACAGTTACTTCCACAAGTAACTGTAACTGTAACAAGTAGCTTCCACAAGGATATTAACATTAACTTCCTAGGGCCATCCAGACTGAAGAAGTTTCTCTTCATTTTCAGTGAAGTGTGTGAGGAACTCTTCTTTGGAGACTCCAGTGTCTTTGCTGCCTGAGACCTATTTTCATGGTTTTTAATATTTTATTTGCTTTGCATGAATTTTTTTAAATATGCATTCCCATGTAATCTGACAGTTGTTAGACAGTATAAGAGTGCCACACGAGTATCAATTTACTAAGCAAGTGCAGCATTCCAAATTGATTAGCAAGGATCAAGCATCATGGAAATTTTTTGTTTTGTCTTTTGCGTATTGGGTTTGGGACTACACCTAGCAGTCCTTAGGGGTTACTCCTGACTCTGCACTCAGGAATTACTCCTTATGGTGCCCAGGAGACCTTATGGGATGCTGGGGATTGATCCTGTTGATAGCTGCATGCAAGGCAAGCTCCCCGCCTCCTGCCCTCTTTACGGCCCACATAATGGAAATTCTACAGAATATTCAGGCCTTTTTGTTCTGCTAATACTAGATGACTGCATAAATCTTGTCGGTTTTTTTCTCTTTTAATTCTAAACTATCAGATCTTTGATTTTTGCCCTTTACTGCCATTGTAAAGCATCTGTCGTACAGTGATAGAATAAGATTAATCGTGATTTTCCTTTTTTACTAGCAGCGAAGAAGAGTCGTGTTGTTTCTGATGCAGATGACTCTGATAGTGATGCTGCATCAGACAAATCCAGCAAAAGAGAAAAGACTGTAGCATCAGACAGTGAAGAAGGAGGAAAAGAAGACTTATCTGACAAGAAAAATGAAGAAAAGGATCTGTTTGGGAGTGATAGTGAGTCAGGGAATGACGAAGAGTAAGTGACAGTGTAACCTGAGTTTTCAAGGGTGCCTGCAAAGGGTGGAAGAGAGGGTTTGTCTTTCAAGTTCTTTCAACTTGTACAAAATTTTGTATAGAGGTATGATACAAAGAAATGTGTTGTGCTTTATTATGTAACATTGGGGAAATCGGGGTTTTAGTTCCTTAACTATTGCTACATGCTGCAACATGGATGAATCTTAGAAATACTGTCATAAAAGTAGAGATTCGGAGACAGACAAGGCCAATCCTTGGTGATGGGAAGAATGGATACCTCTCCACAGATGGAGTGGGATACTGACCAGAAAGGGCCACAGGGAATTTCTAAAGAGGTAAAATTAGGGGCTAGAGCAATAGTACAGAGGGTAGGGCATTTGCCTTGCACGTGGCTGACCTGAGTTCGATTCCCAGCATCCCATATGGTCCCCTGAGCACCACCGGGGGTAGTTCCTGAGCTCAGAGCCAGGAGTTAACCCTGTGCATTGCCGGGTGTGACCGCCCCCTCCCCCCACCAAAAAAAGGCAAAAAAAAGAGGTAAAATTATATATCTTAATTAGGGTAATGGCTACATTAGTGTATGCCTTTATCAAAACCCATTGAAATAATACTTTTTGGGACTGGAGATGAAATACAGTGGGTAGGACATTTGTCTTGCACATGACTCACCCAGGTTTGATCCCCGGCATCCCATATGGTCCCCCAAGCATCCCCAGGAGTAATTCCGGAGTGTAGAGTCAGGAGTAACCCCCAAGCATTGCCAGGTGTGGCCCCCCCTTCCCCACCAGAAAAAAAAAAAGATCTGTGCCTGATATAACTCAAGGAATGGAATGCATTGTATACAGGAGAAGCTTCTGATCCGTGGCACCATATGGTTGCCCAGGCATGCGTGGGTATGGTCCCCAAACCACCAAAAAATATTCAACATAATTTTTTATGTGTAAATACACCCTATTAGAAAAAATATTTTATGATTCATGTGCCAGTGAGAAGAAAGAAATCGAAGGAACCTGAGAGATAGTACAATGGGTAGGGCATTTGCCTTGCACACAGCCTACCCGCGTTTGATCCCTGGCATCCCAAATGATCTTTGAGCCCAGCGAGAGTGAACCCTCCCTGAGTAGAGTTAAGAGTAATCCCTTACCACCATCAAGTGTGACCAAACCTCCCCCTCCCACCCTACCCCCCAAAAAATAAAAGCACAAGACAAGCAAATGAAAGGGTTTTTTTTTCCTTTCAGGAATCTTATTGCAGATATATTTGGAGAATCGGGTGATGAAGAGGAAGAAGAATTTACTGTAAGTATGAGGTAGAAATATTTTCTTTCAAACAGCTTGTTTTTACGGTTTTCTAGTGTATGATTAAGTGAATGGAAATAAACAGGTTTAATGTATTCTAAAGAAATCTATGTGGCTTTTGGCAGAAATCCCTCCGGACTTAATTAGTAAAATATCAGAAACCCAAACTCAGTAGTGACTGCATGACATTATATGGGCTTTATAACCAGCAATAGAAAACAAATTATTTCACTATTCCTTTTTAGCAGGTGTGATTGTTGGGGTAAAATTTCAAATAGTAGTGGTGCATCTTTTGTCGAAATAATGTAATCAAAGTAGAAAGAGAGTTAAGTGGAAATCATCTGCCTCACAGGCATGGGGAGAAGTGGGATAGGGTTATATTGGGGTTCTTTGTGATGAAAAAAACGCACTGGTGAAGGGATGGGTATTTGACCGTTGTATGGCTGAGACGTAAACCTGAAAGCTTTGTACTGTTCTCACGGTGATTCAATGAATAAATTTGAGGGGGGGGGGGAGAAATCTGTAGTAAAAGTGTCCTAAAAAAGAAAAGTTATGCAAAGACATAAAAGGGAAACAACAGGCAAAATTAAGTAGGGGGTTAGGGTTTGCACATTAAGATACAATAAAATTTATTATATGCCTTTTGTAGTAATGTGTAAGGATAGGGATGGTGAGATAGTGTAGCAGTTAGGTCTCATGCCGGGCATATATCCAACCCAGTTTGAGCCCCAGCCTGCCAACCACCACAACACTGTCTTCTCGGGCCCTCACAATAAGCAGCCTGGTTGGCAAAGAATTACTACATTGACACACTGAGCACTGTTTATTTGACCCTAAAAGAATAATTTTCACAATAAATCTGAATCTGATTTTTGCAGTGACACTTGGTAACCAACCGTAACTCCTAAGGATAACTAAAATAACTAGAGTGATTTTGCAAGAGAAATAATAGGCTCCAATGTACTAGAGTGTTATATTTAGCAAACGATTGTTCTCAGAAATAATTTTATCTGCTAACTAAAAAGTTAAGAATTTAGGAATCTCAGGAAGGTGAAAGATCACATGAGGGAAAAAAAAACAACATTAAGTATGTTGTATAAATCTGCTCAGTGCTTACTTCTTACTCCTTGCCCTGAGTTCAGGGATCACTCCTGGCATTGCTCTGGGGATCAGGGATTTGCTGCCAGGGATCAAGCTAGGGTTGGCTTTGTGCTAGGCAAGTGCCCTATCTACTAAGGAAGGAAATCTATAATAAATCTGGCTAACTTAACTTTTCCTTAGGGTTTTAACCAAGAAGATCTGGAAGAAGAGAAAAATGAAATGCAGGTAAAAGAAGCAGAAGATTCAGATTCTGATGATAATATAAAGAGAGGAAAACAGTAAGTCTGGTTTTTGTTGTTAGTATTACTGTTTTGGTTTCAAAGCCACACCTGATGGTGCTTATGAGACCAAGTGAAACCAGGGTTTCGGCCTTCACTTCACACATGCAGAGCATATGCTCAGCCTTTTGAGACAGTTCTCTACCACTGTTTGGGGTTTTGTTTTTCAAAGGAATTTGATCATGAAAATTTGAAAATTGAAGATTAATACTAAGCTCCTCATTAAGTATAGAAAACAACCTGATTCATTTTTTTCTTCCATGTACCTCTCTGTATCTAGTGCTGTTTACATTATCTGCTCTTGTTATTTTTCTTTCTTGAGCCTTCCAAAATGTGCAGGTATATGGGCTTTTGATACCTATTTTACCAACTAAGCATTTGTGAAAAAAATAATCCTAACCTATTGAAGAATTTATAATTTCTTCAAAACTAGTTTTGTGAGTTCAAAGACTAACTCTTGCTTTTTTGGGGTCATACCCAGTGATGCTCAGGGGTTACTCCTGGCTGTACACTCAGGAGTTACTCCTGGCGGTGCTTGGGGGACCATATGGGATGCTGGGGATTGAACCCAGGTTGGCAACATGCAAGGCAAACGCCCTACCGACTGTACTATTTGCTCCGGCCCTCCAAAGATTAACTCTTAACTGAGAAATAATGCTTCACTGTATTTAATTTGTTGGCTGTGATGGATGAAATCTATTATTTAAAAAAAAAACTCTCTAAAGGTTTCAGCCATGGATTCTTTTTTTACTATTTATAGTTTATGAATACAATACTTGGAAAATTTTCCCTTTTTAATTCCTACTACTTGCAATAATTAAGCTGAATGAGCTTGGCAGTACTTATGGAAATTATCATGTAAATCATCATGTAAAAGTAGCAAAGAACAAGTTAACTCCCCTCTTTATGTGTTGATTCAGGTGATTTATAAATGTTTGAAGCACTAAACATGTCTGTAGATTTTTATCTTTAATTTAGTCTCATACTGTTTTTCATTTGATTTTGTGTTAATACCTAGTATGGACTTCCTGTCGGATTTTGAGATGATGTTACAGCGGAAGAAGAGCATGAGTGGCAAGCGTAGACGTAACCGTGATGGTGGAACTTTTATTAGCGATGCTGATGATGTTGTGAGTGCCATGATTGTCAAGATGAATGAGGCCGCTGAGGTAGGCTTCTTTCATCTTTTCTTTTAATTGATTGTGTGACTTTTAAGTTTATGCCTTAAACTACATGTAAGGTTCTTTGGTTTTTGTAATAAAGCTTTTCAAGTTCAAAATTTTAAGCATAAAATCACTTCATTTTCAGTAGCATATTTAGAAAAATTTGAAGTACGTTTAACAATATTTTTCTTTGTTAGAAAAGCCTCATATGGACCAGAGCAATAGTACATTGTGTAGGGCATTTGCCTTTCATGTGGTCAGTCTGAGCCCCAGGGCCCCCTATGGTCCTCTGAGCACTGCCAGGAGTAATCCCTGAGTACAAAGCAAGAGTAATTTATCCCTTAGCTGGGTGTGGCCCAAACATAATTTTTTTAAAAGCCTCACAGCTGGAAAGTAATTCCTGTTTTCCCAGTATAATTTGTTCTACAATTAATGTATTTTAAATTAAAACTGCTCTTCTCAGGTTTGCCATTATTAAAGCTAATCTGAAAAATTTGTGAGTTTGATAGCACAGATACGGAATTTAGGGGTCTATGAAAGTCTTTATCCCTTCCTGTAAAATTTATAGTTTTTTGGAAAAAATCATTTTTTAAAGATTTTAAAATTATAGTGGCTATCATTTATCGTTAACAGTACTGCATTTTTTACATCTTTTTTTTTTTCCTGAATAGGAAGACAGGCAATTGAACAATCAAAAAAAGCCAGCACTGAAAAAATTAACATTATTACCTACTGTAGTCATGCACCTTAAGAAGTAAGTATTCTGTCCTCTCAAGAAAAATCTGTTCGTTTTGGTATAGAGAGATAGGTTAGCTGGCTAAGTGCGTGCAGTAGGCCTGAGTTTGATCCTGGGTATTACATGGTCTCTCAGCACTGTCAGTATAGTCCTCCTCCAAAAAACACAACTTTTTCCTTATGATTGAGTAATATTCAGATTATACTGGTATCTTAGAAATATTAGAAAAGATTGCCTTTTATTAAGTCATAGAAAAATAAGTGAATAGAACTTCCTGAATTATCTTAGTTTCTCACAAACTTCCTTATACCATAATGCCTGGTACAAACAGAACAAATGACAAACAGATTAATAAAAACAGAAGGGCTGGAGTGATAGTACAATAGGTAAAACTTTATTTTTTACAGAGCCAGGGCAAGGTTTGATCCCCAGCAGCCCCAAGCACACCAGGAATAAGCCCTGAGCACAGCTGGGTGAGGCCCCCCCACCAAAAAAAAAAATGGAAGCACTTTCTTTTGACAATCCATTTTGAGTTTCATAAAATTACATCTGTTTCCCTAATGTGACATCATCAAATCCTGGGAGCCTACTTGTAGCATTTATCATGCTTATATAGTCCATTATGTCATAATTTATGTCATTAGACCTTCTAGATTAAGAACCCTTTATTGATAGATCCCTGTTACTATGTGGTTTCACCGGTTTACTCATATTCCTGAGTAGCTTTGGTTTTTCCTTGAACCTAGCCATACTCTACCTTCGATGACTATAGAAATGTGTTAAACACCCATTTGTCGAGGTATTCTGTATCTGTTTAGTAGATAATAGCTATCTCTGTCACAACAGACAAAATTTTTTGTGGCAAATTTCACAGCCAGACACAGTAACAACAAAGTCTCCAATGGAGACGTTACTGGGCCCGCTCGAGCAAATCGATGATCAACGGGAGGGCCTTTACTTTACTTTACTTTTTCTGCTAGAATCATGGTCCCACGTCCAGTAAAGAATAGCACTGTTCTGGGTTCTCTGTCAAAGAGTGTGAGAATCTCTATCCTGGTAGTTCAAGCATTTTTTATTGTAATAATTGGAACTCATTATTTTGACTATACCATTCATAATGGCATTAACCTATCTTGTGTGTTTTGCTTATTTTTAACAAATTATCTTTCCCTGTCAAGTTTATTTCTTAAAATAGGAACTAAATTTTATGCTGCTTTTAAAAACTCTGAATTAGATGCTCAGTTAAAAAATGTGTAACTCTTTAAAAACTGTTTTTGAAAGTATCACTAAATATGTTTCTAAAAAACCCAAAGCAAGCTGGAGTGGAATTAGGGTTTATAAACTTTTTCGTCAACATCATCATCATTCTCATTATTATTACAGACAGGATCTTAAAGAAACATTTATCGACAGTGGTGTGATGTCTGCCATCAAAGAATGGCTTTCCCCTCTGCCAGATAGGAGTTTGCCAGCACTGAAGATTCGAGAGGAGTTATTGAAGATTCTGCAAGAGGTTAGAGACGAATGAACTGTTTGCTCTGTAGTTATCTGATGTTGTTTGTATTATCACTTCTACGACACCATCTATTTGAATATTCTTTCATAAGTCTTCCAGAAAGGGGATATTCTCCAGCACAGGAAGGTACAAAATAGAATAAACTTACAGGCCTTATAAATTTTCATGTAATTGTCTATTAAAGGAAAAAGACCTTGTTGTACCTATGGTTAGCTGAGACAAATAGACCAGAGTAATGAGCATGCTGTGCAGAACTGCTGAAGCCAGAAAGAGCACCAAGTTCAGTCAGGTAAACTTACAGTTGAGTCTTGAGCTGTACCATCTTTATGCAGCTGTGACACCCTGGACAAGCTACTTAAGTAATTCCCAAGGAACCTCCTGTGTGCTAGGTGTATGGGGTGGGGGGGGTTGGTAGGGCGGGGGTGGGGCGGTGGTTTTGGCGGCCTTGGGGCTCAAACAGTGGGCACACATGCAAGACCAGTGTTCTGCCAATGAACCATACCTCCGGCCTAGTGTTGAATATTTGTATTGGTTCTTGTATTCCTTAGAACCAGGTAGGTGTATAACTTTCATTTTACAGATGAGGAAATTAAGACTGAAGTTAAGTGACCTGTCCAAGGTCACGTAACTGACAGGTGATAGCGGTGCTTGGATCTTTTTGATTCTGAGGCTCAGGCTGATTTATTAAGCTGCTGACCTCATAGCATGCTTAGTTCACCCTTTCTCACATCGTTCTAGTTTTCTTTAACTTGTCATAATACATAATATCAGCCTTTGGCACAAGCACCATGTTTTTGCTTTCATTGTATATTTGTATCTTGAAAATAGAATATTTTATTATTCTGATATAACTGAATCAGGTCTTGGATGCCCCCTAGTATAGATTGGCAGAATTCCCAGCTTCTGAGTAATTAAAATGTCTGTATGTGTTTATATTCCCCAGCTACCTAGTGTGAGCCAGGAGACCCTGAAGCATAGTGGGATTGGACGAGCAGTGATGTACCTCTATAAACATCCCAAGGAATCAAGGTCTAACAAGGACATGGCAGGGAAATTAATCAGTATGTACATTTTGATTTTCTGTTTGTTATATTTATGTGTGTAGAGAGGCATGTGTAAATTAATGTGTAAATGAGTTCGCCATTTTTAGCAATGGTCTTTTGAATTGAATCAGTAAGCTAAAAAAAAAAAACTCTGATACCTCATGTACCAACTTTTTCTCCTTAAACTTGGAATATGTTCTGTGCACTATCCAGTATTAAATACAGCAGATAAAACTATGCATTTTCTAATTATGGAACAAGAGTAGGTAGAGTTAGGAGTAAAAGTGCGGACATAGAGTCAGTAAAATGGGTTCAGATTTTAGATTTCTCATTTGTCTCTCTCCATGTCCTCAGTCTAGGGATTTAGACTCTAGTCTTTGGTTTCCTCCTCTGCAAAGCAATTACATTTACTCTGAACATTGAAATTGCTAAATGCTAGTGTCTAAAGCAGAGTGCCTAGCATATTGTTCTCAAAAACGCTAGCCTTTTGCAATTTCCTGTTTGAGGGGGGTGGCGTAATGGTCTTGTTTATTTTTATTTGTAAGTAAATTATTGGTTATTAAGTTATTGATAAGTTACCATTAGCACTCGTAAAAATTTTTAAAGATAGACCTATTTTGACAATTGAGTTCAGGAATTTTTTATTTTAAGAATTTCAGTAAAAAGATTCTATATTCTCAATAAATTTAGAAATTAGATTGTCTGTTAAATGAACAGAGGTAGTTGATTGGGGCTAGAGCGATAGTACAGCAGGTAGGATATTTATTTGTCTTGCACATAACCAATCCAGGATCAGTCCCCGGCATCCCATATGATCCCCCGAGCACCACCAGGAGTAATTCCTGAGTGCAGAACCAGAAGTAACCCCTGAGGCTGGGGCTGGAGGAATAGTACAGCGGGTAGGGTGTTTGCCTTGCTCATGGCTGACCCAGGTTCAATCCCTGGCATCCCGTCTGGTATGCCAAGCACCACCAGGATTAATTCCCGAGCACAGAGTCAGAAGTAACCCTCAAGCAGCGCTGGATGTGACAGACAGAGAGAGAGAGAGAGAGAGAAAGAGATAACCCCTGAGCATTGCCAGGTGTGACCCAAAAAAAGAAAAGACAAAAAAAAGGTAGTTGGTCATCTAGTTTTTTTGTTGGTTTGTTTTTTGTTTTTTTGTTTTTGTTTTTTTGGTTTTTTTTTTTTTTTTTTTTTTGCTTTTTGGGGTCACACCCAGCGATGCACAGGAGTTACTTCTGGTTCATGTACTCAGGAATTACTTCTGGCGGTGCTCGGGGAGACCATATGGGATGCTGGGAATCGAACCTAGGTTGGCTGCGTGGAACGCAAACACCCTACCCGCTGTGCTATTGTTCCAGCCCCGATCATCTAATTTTGATGCTGAGGTTATACTGTGTTTGTTCTATAATGGTTCTGAAATAACGGTATCTTCAAGGAAGAATATTCTAGATGCCATAGTAGTTTATTATATGAGTGTCATTATTTTGGATAATGGTAGGAGAAATGCCCTTTTGAATTTAACAAGCCATTTCTCCTTACTGAAGATGAATGGTCTCGCCCTATATTTGGTCTTACCTCAAACTACAAGGGAATGACAAGAGAAGAAAGGGAGCAGAGAGATCTGGAACAAATGCCTCAGCGGAGAAGAATGAGCAGGTATGAGGGAACAGGTATGAGTAAATGTGCTGTGATGACTCGGTCATTTTGGTCAATAAAATAAATAATAATAAATAAAGGCCCTCCCGTTGACCGTCGATTTGCTCGAGCAGGCCCAGTAACGTCTCCATTGGAGACTTTGTTGTTACTGTGTCTGGCATATCGAATACTCTCAGTAGCTTGCCGGGCTCTCCGAGAGGGGCGGAAGAATCGAACTCGAGTCAGCCATGTTGGCCGCTTGTAAGGCGAACGGAGTGATAGCACAGCGGTTACTGGGCCCGCTCTTGGTCAATAAGACAATTCAAAAATTTGCAATCTCAGGATTTTGATTTTCTTTTAGGTGGTTTTGTCAGTGATAGAATCTTTTCCGTTGAAATGTGATGAATATGTAGTGACTGACTGCTCATACCCTTCTCTCACTTTTCTAACTCATTCTTGTGGAATGTGACTTCTGCCACAGTTCTGGCAACCTCCAGGGCCAGTAGTTTTATTTTGACCGCTTGCAGAAAAAACTCCCCCAGTCCCATGTCCTAATATTTGAAGGGGAAGATATAAATGTTAACTGCTTCAGTTTGTATAGTTTAATTGAATGCAGATGTATGCAGTTGGGAAGCAAGGGAGGAGTTATTAGCCAAAAATTACAGCAGTTACTGCTGTGAGTTACTGCTCACCCATAGTGTCACCTAATGTGGAGCATAGTTTTCTAAATGTTAAACAATATATATTCCTAGACAACAAGTAGGCTGTACTGTTAAAAGATATGAATTAGTCCTACTTGATCTAGCATGGTAGTTCTCAAAATGTATGTGCTTAATTCCTCATAATAAACCCTCATATGCAAATAATCATTAAATTGGGATTTTCCTGTTTCAGTGTAAAATGATGTGAGTTTGGTATTTTTCTTTGCTCTTGTTTTTTCCTTTTCTTCTGTTCCTAATCATTGTCACTGATTGGTTTTTCCCAGCACTGGTGGTCAGACGCCACGAAGGGACTTAGAAAAAGTGCTGACAGGAGAGGAGAAGTAAGTTTTTGTCGTTTATTTTTCTTATTAGAACATGTAGAAAATGCCCTAATGCCGCTTTGCTTTTAAAAAATGACAAATGTATTCGTATTGGTGGTTGCTTCTAGTTTATTATCAATTTCACATTTATTGTCTTAAGTTCTGGGAATTCAAAATCAAATTAAAAAGAATCTGTGCTCAGAAAATTCTTGTAGGGATTATAGGCAAGTGGTGGAAGAGAGCTTATTAAGCAAAGATGGGGCTGAGCATGCAAGACTGGTTTTAGAAATAACAACCAGACTTAAGTGGTAAAGGCAGAAGCTTGGTGTCTGAGATGTGGAGATTGGAAATTCAGGTGAGAATCAACTTTTTTTTTTCTTTTTGGGTCACACCCAGCGATGCACAGGGGTTACTCCTGGCTCTGCACTCAGGAATCACTCCTGGTGGTGCTCAGGGGACCATATGGGATGCTGGGAATCGAACCTGGGTCGGCTGCGTGCAAAGCAAAAGCCCTACCCACTGTGCTGTCTCTCCAGCCCCGAGAACCAACTTTTAAAAGATTTTAAATCAAGATGAAGAATTTTCATTTTTGATTTCACAGAAAGATTTTACGTCATCAGAGTTTATTTAGAATCCTCAGAATCCTCATTCTGGTGGCATGCTGTAGAATGGGTGGGAAGGCGGGAAATGAAGACTGAAAATAGTTTAACGAGCTGATCATAAGGGGTATGTAGCAGAAGATTGATGATTTTGCAGTGACAAAATTGTAAGGAGTTTGGTAACAAGTACAGAATTGATTAGAGTTGATAGTAGTTAAAACTTTTAACCTAAGTAACTGAGTATTACCAGCCACTAAAATGGAGAAGAAAAGTGGATTTGAGGCTAAGTTCTATTTTCAGTATGTTAAATGTGAGGTGCCTGGTGAGTGATTCTTTTTTCTTTCTTTTTTTTTTTTTTAATTTTTATTAGTGAGACATCATGAGGTACAGTTGTAGACTTACAAATTTTTGTGCTTGGGTTTCAATTATACAGTGATCAAATACCCATCCCCTCCACCAGTGCCCATTTCCTACCACCATGGATCCCAGTATCCCTCCCACCCTCCATCCCGCCCTACCTCTGTGTCAGGGCATTCCCTTTTGTTCTCTCTCTCTTATTGGGTGTTGTGGTTTGCAAAAGAGGCAATGGGTGACAATCATGTTTGGTCTATTAGTCTACTTTCAGCATGCTTCTGGTGAGTGATTCTTACAAATACTTTGAATCTAGAACTTAAATTTTGGGTTACAGACACAAATTTGGTAATCATTTCCTTAGAAATGGTCATTGAAGCAAAAAAAAAAAAGGTATAAAGAAACAAATTCAGTTTTGAAGGGGAGTGTAGCCAAGCTGGCTGGCTTGCCAGTGAAGATGAAGGAGTAGAGATGCACTTGTTCCTGCCAGAGGAGAAACGGATAAGAGAGTGAGGCCATGGCAGAGGGGTTTGTACAGTGTGTGCTGGTAGTCAGGCAGCACCAGATTGTAAGAGGAAAACAGTGATGAGCTAGAGGGATCAAATACAGTTTGTTGTGGGTGATTTTGGTAATAAGACAGACCATGGTTTCAGGTTAGGAGTCACAGGAAATTTTCTTTAGCTACCCATTTTTTTCCCATGTGAAATTTGAAAATAAAGTGTGCAAGAAAATTCAGATAGTTTTCAGACTTCTCTTCAGCCTGTGCTACCTACACCCTGCCCGCTGTGCACATTATGTTCCTACTCTTACCTTCCACAAGAGAGAATAGTTACCTAAAGGTTGAATGATTCGAACTTTTAGAACTCTGTAGCACTGTAGCACTGTCCTCCCATTGTTCATCGATTTGCTCGAGCGGGCCTAGTAAGTCTCCACTGTGAGACTTTGTTGTTACTGTGTTTAGCATATCGAGTATGTCACTGGTAGCTTGCCAGGCTTTGCCGTGCGGGCAAGATACTTTCAGTAGCTTGCCAGGTCTCCTAGAGGGGTGGAGGAATCGAACTCGGGTCAGCCATGCCGGCTGTGTGCAAGGCAAATGCCCCACTGCTGTGCTATCACTCCAGCCCCTTAGAACTCTGCAGATAGATTTTAATATTGAGGATGATAATCCTAACTTTATTCTAGCATGATGATTCTCAAATATGTACAGTAAATCCTCACTTAACATTGTCAGTAGGTTCTTGGAACCTGACTTTTTAGACAAATGACTTATGGGAAAACCTGTTTTGCATGACGAAGTGATATAAATAAGATGATAGCATCTTTGTCACAAAAAAAATCATTAAAAACCCAGAACACTTGTAATATTAAAGAGACATTTTTGTTCATTCGTTTATATTCAACCACTTTAAGGGTAGGGTGGTCAGAGACAATCCTGCTGCCTCAAAAATAACGTGAGAATCATCTCTAGACAGGATGTTCTTTCTTCTCAAGGCATGCATATGTGCTTGCATGCACACTTCAACTAGAACAGTTTAGACATCCAGTAAGACCAAGAGTGTGGCTCTGGTGATAGCAAATATGCAAAACTCTCGATTTAATCATTGTAAGGTACGCCACCTTGTATTACCCAAAATAAACAAAAACTAAACACTCAACCTCACTTTCACATCAATATGATGTGGGAGGAAACTTAAGTTCCTGGAGAAAACCCACATGTACACTGGAAGACCATGTTCGGAATCCACACACAGTGTCTTGAACTAAGAATCAGTTTCTCTTTCTCATCAACATTACAATGAACCAACTTGCTTTTAGGATCTGTTATATACAAAACTTTCTGTGTGTCGCACCACCAAATACTGGTGACAGAAAACGGATCATTCATTGATTGTTGGTAAAATGATGCATATATTTTGAAATATATGCACACCTTCTACAAGATCATTGTGGGTGATTTTAATGCCAAGATAGGACCGAGAAGATCAGCTGAAGAACTTCACATCGGGACCCATGGCCTAGAATGGAACGAACAGGGTGAGAGACTGTCTGAGTTCATCATGTCGACCAAGACCATCCATGGTAACTCACAGTTCCAGAAGGCAGAATCTAAACGATGGACATGGGAGTCTCCCGATGGACGATTCCACAAGGAAATAGACCACATCATATTCAATCGACGGTTTTGCCTGACCGATGTCGCTCTTGTCCCAAAATTCCGAACAGGATCGGACCACCGTCTCCTTCGTGCAAAATTCTACTTCACAGAGCGGGGAGAAAGGGCTGCAAAGTTCAAAAAGAGAACTCCCAAAATGACCACCAACTGGGAACTCTGGTACTATTGCGGCAACATGGGAAGATGCCATTGTTGACAACATTGATGAGGAATATGATCGACTGGTTCAGCACCTCCATGAATGTGCGAGGAACGCCGAGAGAGAGAGCCACAAAAAATCGCCTATCTTTGAAAACTCTTGAGCTAATTCGCCAGTGTGGTTTGGCACATGCCTCAGGCAACCGCAAGCTAACTTCCGAGCTCGCAAAGCAGTGCAGAGATGCGATCAAGGAAGACCTCAAAGAGAGAAGAGCAGAAGTACTGGTAGATGCGGCAGAAGCCGGGAAAAGTATTCGTAACGCCCGCCTGTCCTTCGCCAACTACAAGACCAAGATGACTGCCCTCCGACGTCCTGATGGATCTATCACATCCTCCAGAACAGCAATGGAGAAGATTATCCATAACTTCTACTCAAATCTCTTCGATAGCCATGTCCACTTGCCGACATACCAAATTCCACAGGATGGATATGTCGTTCCCAACGTTCTCCCTTCCGAAATCCGACACACCATTTCGTCAGTAAAGAAACAAACAGCACCCGGCCCAGACAAGGTCAGAGCTGAACACCTGAAGAACCTGCCATCAGTACTCATCAATACACTGGCTCGGCTCTTCACTCGCTACCTGTCTGAATGCAAGGTTCCGTCCCAATGGAAAACCAGCAGGACCGTACTACTGTTCAAGAAGAGAGACATCCATGACATTGGCAACTATCGCCCGATCTGCCTATTGTCTGTCATCTACAAGTTGTTCACTCGAGTCCTCCTAAATAGGATTGGCAGAACAATAGATGAAGGACAACCATGCGAGCAAGCCAGGTTCCGCAAAGGATTCAGCACCATCGACCATATCCACACGATAACCAAGCTCATTGAGGTTTCTCGGGAGTTCAAGAGGCCGCTCTGTTTAACGTTCATTGATTTAAAGAAGGCCTTTGATTCTGTTGAGATGGAAGCAGTCATTGAAGCCCTAGCCAATCAGGGCATTCAAGCCCAATACATCAGGATCCTCCGTGAGCTGTATTGCGGATTCACTACCAGGATCTCACCATTCTACAAAGAAGTGATCATTGATGTCAAGAGAGGGGTGCGGCAGGGTGATACCATTTCACCGAAACTCTTCAGTGCCACCCTCGAGAACATCATGCGACGACTGGAATGGGAAGGAATGGGAGTGAAGATAGATGGTCGGCAACTACACCACCTCCGCTTTGCTGATGACATTGTTTTAATAACACCAAACATCAGCCAAGCGGCACAAATGCTGGCCGACTTTGACCGTGAGTGTGGAAAGGTAGGACTACAGCTGAATCTTACGAAGACAATGTTTATGAGAAACAGCCTCATTCCTGACGCCCCATTTGCTCTCAACGGAATGATCATCTCCGAATGCAACAGCTATGTGTACCTAGGTCGAGAGGTCAACATGACAAATGACCTAGCACCCGAGCTTCGCAGGAGGAAGAAAGCGGCTTGGAACGCCTTCAAGAACGTTGAAGAAATAGCTAAGAGGACGAAGAACCTCCGGCTCCGGGCACATCTCTTTGATTCCACTGTTCTTCCTGCATTAACATATGCCTCAGAGACCTGGGCCCTACGCAAACAAGATGAGAACGCCATTCAGGTCTCCCAAAGAAGAATCGAAAGAGCTATGCTTGGAATATCACGTTTCACTCAAATGAGAGAACGAATCCGGAGTTCTGACATCCGTCGACCATCAAGGATCAGGGACGCTGTCTCATTTGCCAAGGTGTCGAAAATCAGATGGGCTGGTCACGTAATGAGATTTAAAGACGACCGCTGGACTAGAGCTGTTACTGACTGGATTCCACGGGATGTCAAAAGATCACATGGATGCCCACCTACCAGATGGTCAGACTTCTTCATCAAGATCATGAATGATCGGTTTGAGGCCCTTCATGTTCCCGGAGCAAACAGATGCCATTGGGCTACACTAGCACGCGACAGGGACAAATGGAGATGTTACTGGCACCCGGTCGAGCAAATCGACGACTAACGGGAAGTTAAGTGATAAGTGATATTTTGAAAAAGGTGAGCTGAGCTGGCTTCCTGTAAAATTACACATAAAACTACCATACCACACAGCAGTTGCATACTGGGGAATTTATCCCAGAGAAATGAGAACTTAAGTTTAATCAAAAGTATATTTAAGGCATGCAACTTATAACAATCCAAAACTAAGGACAACCCAGATGTTCTAAGTGAATGGTTAAGCTTATTGGACTGTTTGTATGCCACAGAATATACTTGTAGCTCAACAATTAAAAGAAACACAATGTTGATAGGTGAAACAACTTAAGTTGCTTTATGACAACTCTCAGTCATCGTGTTGAGAGAATACAGATTATTTCTAATGGTTGCATGGAATATTGCATTTATATAACATTCTTAAAATTTCATTCCTAAAATGAAACCAAAACTACTGAACGAGTAACAAATATGTGGTCACAGAAGGTATAGGGACTGGGCAAATGCAGAGGAAGATAGAGATGTTTATAAACAAGAAGAAACCTTGTGGATATAAATCTACACATTCTGTGAAATTGCTTAGAACCAAATACAGATACAAATACAAGTAAAACTCAGGAAAATTAAATTTAAATCTACCAATTGAAGCCAGAGAAATAATTGTAAGAAATATGTGTACTTTGCATGTAGGAAACCCAGGTTCAAGAGACACTGGATTTCTCTTGTTTTTTACAGTTGCATTGCATGTTGGTCAAATTATCTTAGAAATGTAAAGAAACAGTGTAAGTAGAGAATTGGAAAAATAAATAAATCAAAAAATATATTTTTTAAAAAGAAGCAGACAAAAATTACTGTATCAATAGAATATGCTGAATTATGTACACCAGGGATATACTCAGTCTTCAAAACTTAATTTGACCACCTGATTTTTCACCTCAAAAATGAACCCATGCCCCTGCTCCATTATACTAGAAGCTAAAGAGAGTTGGAAAGGAATTCTGAAAATGCAAAGCAAGTTGACTCTGGGAGGGAGATTGAGGAATTGCTACGCTTCTGTGAGTAAGCATGAGGCTAGACAGAGTACAGGAGTCAATCAGGACTGGTTCTTCCTTGTTGGTGTACTGTTATATGGAATGGTCCACAGCTCTGGTTGCCTGAATAAGTAACCTGCTCGTCTGTTTTCCTTTCTCAGGGCTCTTAGACCTGGAGATCCTGGGTTTTGTGCCCGTGCAAGAGTCCCGATGCCCTCAAACAAGGACTATGTTGTAAGGCCCAAGTGGAATGTTGAAATGGAATCATCCAGGGTAAGCAAACAGGGGAACAAGGTGCATCTCAGACATAAATTGATCATTTGGGTTGGGGTATTTTTTGGTTTGTTTTTTTTTCTTAATGTCATGTTTAATAACAATGGTTTGTGTGGTTTTACTGAAATAAAGACCTTTTCTGATCTCTTATCTTGCCAGATCATTCCTTGCTGGGCTTTACTTTATCGAATCTGGAAGTTTCTTACTAAATTTCCTCAGTTCCACTGACTTAAAACCTCAGTGATCTGATACAGTCATTTTAGATCCTTGAGAAACAGAACTACCTGATTTGGCATTCAACCCCTCCCTTTACTTTAACTGTTTTAAACAATTCTGTTGCAAAATATTTAGCCTAGACACTTCCTCTGTCATCATTGTAAATACTGTGCAGTGATCGTCATTGTTTCTCAGTAATCTCTCTTTATTTTCCATTCAAACTACTTTTTCTAGCCTGGTATTCTTAAAAAGGGCCTAAGCCGATTGGAAAAGCATAAAAGGCGATTTGCAGAACAGAAACGACTCAGCAAACTGCACCGTGCTGTCAAGTTCAGCATTGAAGGCAACAGGATGCCCCTGTAGGCCTGGCCCTACCAGTGTGTATCGGAGAGGTATCCCCAAGGAAGCATGCTCCTGCATGGGCGTGAATTGTCCGCAACTAGAGTGAAGACTGTGCTTTCTTAACCAGAAAGGGCCACGCCCACTTCTAGTTTCAAAATAATGAACCTAACAGGTATTCAGTCATCAAGTCTTCTTGAAGATTAACAAATTGATAATGAAGACCTCTTTTTAAAGGAGAGCCCATAAGGCCAATAGAGAAGTAAGCCCTGAGAAGTATTTTGGTCTTCCTATTACCCATTTTTATTTTAAAGACCCAAATCTTAGTTATCCTCAATATAGGCACATAAATTCTCTTTCCATACTCTGATCTCTTTCTTTCCTAACATTTTTTTTCTTTTCCAGCAACTTATTTTTAAGCATTAAGATTTATAATATGGCCAAGAAAATGTAACGAAAATCTTAATGGTCACTGTTTGGATGCATACCTTGTATTTTGGAGGGTGATTGTGGGTGTCATTGTTTCTTATCCCACGTTCCCTGTAGGTGATGGTGAGGTGGGAAGAAATGACCCAACCTTCTGCTAAAGCAGAGAAGTGTCAGACATGAGGAGAGGGAAATTAAGTTCCTGTATGCCCAGCTCTCCCATGGCTGTGGCTGTGATTATACTGCAGTTAGAGCATGTTAGGGCGGTAGATGATCCTATGTCACATTCTCCGTGTTGTTCTTGGACCTTGTGACACTCCCTATTCAGTGTTTTTTCCACATTCATTCAAGGCTTCCATATTGCACAAGACTAATAATGTATTATTATGAAACATTGTCCAGTGTTCAGAAGACAGATGGATTGAGAAGGCAGATGGCTTCCCAGTGAAGCGTTTTTGTTTTAAATGTCACCGTTCCTGGACTAGGGATTTGGCTCAGCTGTATGAGCCACATGTTTGATTCCCTGGGTTTCATCCCTGAGTACTGCAAAAAATAAAATTTTAAAAATTGAATGTCATTTTTATACTGGAATAGCATGAATAAACGTAAAGTAATTCTCCAAAATCCCACTCCACGCTAAGTTTTCACTGTTAACAATTTGGTTTGTAAAATGTACATTCAGCAGTACTTTAAAACTAGCTTTTCCTGGTTATTACTGTAGAAAAGTTTGTAATTAAGAGAAAAATCTTCCCACCAATCAAAAATAATTAGAATATTTTTTATTACTGAAACTTTAATCTTATATGATAATACAATTTTACTTTTCTTTCATTTAACCACTAACATATGTCATTAATAATGGCTGTGTACTAGTCTGTTATAAATGTGCTTTATTTTCCCTCTCTGGCTTCCTGTTTTTCTCACCTAAATAGTAGTGTGCTTGCTATACTATATTTTTATGTTTATATGTTATTTCTTGGAGTGCTTTTAAAATAACATTAAAATGGCAAAAAATAGTACATGTTTTTTATATAAATCTTTCAAATAAAATTGTTGCTTGTATTTCTACCAGACCTTATTGACATTTTTGGTTATTTCTTTTTAATTCTTTTTATATGTATACAAAGACAGTGTCATTGATTCTGTTTTTGTTTTTATTTAACTAAACATTCTTCAGTGACAGTATTGTCATAATAGTTATACTATTATTTTGATAAGCACTTGCTCATCTTTTAAGCTGCTTTGATTTTCCATTGCTGTAAAATTGATGAATCAAAAGAGAGGCCATTCAATTTGGCATGTCAGGTATTGTTTTCTGCGTTCTTAGACTTCTAATAACTTGGCATCTGCCATTTTAGTGTTAAAAGCTAGAAAAAAGTATAGATTAGAACTGGACTCGGTGTGTCACAGTTGCTGGGGTGGAAAGATCCATAAGGCACGGAAGGTTAGGGTTGGTTACTCGAAATACTCAAAATCAGAGCACTTTGACTGAGATAGAATCAAGATACCATACCTCCAGTGTTTGATAGGATGGTGGTACCATAGTTTATTTCCTTATGATAATGAGTGTTTATGCAAATTCAGGCTGTTGAGTTAAAATTGATAAAGAATGGTGACTTGAGCAGGAGAGCAATAGTATAGCTGGTAGGCCACTTGCCTTACATACAGCCAATCTGGGTTCAATCTCTGGTATCCCATATGGTTCCCCTTAGCCCCATCAGAAGGGATCCCTGAGTGCAGAGTCAGCATCAATCCCTGAGCGCTATCTAGTTTGGTAAAAACCAAGAGTGATTATTTGAAATTGGGCCATTCTTAGAATGGAAACTCAGCATGTTTCTTGTTTAAAAATGACTTAGTGGGGGCTGGAGCGATAGCACAGCGGGTAGGGTCTTTGCCTTGCATGCAGCCGACCCGGGTTTGATTCCCAGCATCCCATATGGTCCCCCAGGTACTGCCAGGAGTAATTCCTGAGTGCATGAGCCAGGAGTAACCGGGTGTGACCCAAAAAGCAAAAATAAAATAAAATAAAGAATGACTTAGAAATCTTGTTCATATCTGAGATGGAAACTGATGACTTTGTAGGCTTCCTGCTCTAAAGAACTCACCTCACTAGTGCCAACCTTGGAATGTCTCCTAGTCCCATCCTTATTTTAAGATTTCATGAATGTTACTTTACAGATAATGATTTGATAGTAACATCACCTAGGAAATAAACATTACTCGTACCCACTATACAGTACTGAAGCTCAGAATTTGCACAATAGTTGGCCCAGTACTTTTCATACTTTTGAGAGGTGTTTTGTTTTGGGTTTTTTTCCCCCTTGGGGAACAAGTTTTTGCATGGTAATACAAACATTTCAAAGTATTTCTTTTTTAAAAATCAAACCATTAAACATAAAAGGCAAGAAGAATATGATGGAAAAATTAAAGCTCCTTAGATTTTTTAAAAAAAGACAATTTTCTTACTGTGTCAGGTATTCTTATTTACTATATATCTGATTTTTTAAGGTAACCATAATAAATAATAATAACTGGTCTTTATCTTGAGCACTGACTGTATCTTAGCCTCTGTGCTTTTACTTGACTTCATCTCACTTTTCAGCAGTCCTGAAAGGAATATAGACCCAAGATCTGATTGGCCCAGGGTCACAGGGTCTTAGAAGATGGAACATGATCATTTACTCTAAGTCTGAGGCTGGAGCTCTAGCGCTTACTAACTTTGCTTTACTAATCTGCTAACACTTTCATTGTGCTGTCTTTTTCTCAGAAAACTTTACTTAGACACCTGATCATTATTCTTTCTGCCATTCTGCCTGAAGGTGTATAAGCAAAATGATGAGATTCACATTTAGGTCTCGAAAGGCAAAAGCATAAAGGCAAAACATATTCTTACGGAAATAATAGGGATTGTGGTTTTAATTTTTCACTTTTTATCTGGGAGATCCCCATGGATTGGGGCAACATTTTCCAATAAAACACCAGGCATAGAAAATGATTCTTCATTTGAGCGGTTTTTTTGTTCTGTTCTGTTTTGTTTTAAATACTGCTATGTATATTTGCTCTGTTCCTGAGGTCATCAACACATCCTGGTTATTGGAAAGCTAGCAACTCTGTCTGATAACTTTCAGTTAAAAGAAGGTAAAAGACAAAACTGACTGCATATATGTATTTCAGAAATACGCTCTTTTAACTTTTCCTCCACTCAGTTTCAGGGGACCTCCAAGAAGGGTATCAGTCGACTGGATAAACAGATGAGAAAGTTCACAGATATCAGGAAAAAAAGCAGATCTGCACATGCAGTGAAAATCAGCATTGAGGGCAATAAAATGCCATTGTGACCTTGCTGGGATATAGCCCCATCGCTGTGATGTGAAATGCGCAATGGACTCTTTGGAGAAAGAAGATATTTTAAAACGATTTTTAGTGTATCTGTAAATGGTTCTGCTTGTATCAATGTTGTCATAGGACTTGCTTTTCTCTTAGTTGTATTTAAAACTGTTTGTTGTGTACTTTGTACAGAGGAATACTAGTTATACTTCTATAAACTTTACACAATAAAACTCCATTCTGGTTTTTGGGCACTGTGTCTTCATTGCCTTTCAGGGTGTGAAAATTGGTTATTTCTTGGTAAGTTAAAAAAAAAAGAAGAAGAATCGTATATTGCAATGTTTGAAATGACTTTCCAAAGATCAGAAACTTGGTCTTAGTCCTGGCACCAAGCTTCTAAGACTTCATTAGAATATATCCTAAGTAATAGGAGTGTCATGGGTTATTAGCCATTCCCCACAAATGGCTTTCCTATGGGAACTGATCAGATTACTAAAGGTCACAAACACCTGCCACGTGGTTGAGAGATTAGGACTTTGAACAGACCTGACCTAGTAGGGTGAGGGTGGGGACAGGGAGTACTGAAGATTGAGTTCAGTCTCTTGGCCAATACTATTTGTCTTGAATAGAGAAATCCCAGTTAAAAGGATACTGAAGTGCAGTGAAAATTAAGCTTGGTTAACTGATTGAGCTAAGGGGGGGCGGGGGGGGGTGTTCCTCGGTTCTGCATAGAAAACGCAAAAGCCCTTTGTTTCCTTCTAAATCTCATCCTAGTGAAATCAATTGACTGGGCCTCCTAGTTGGATCCTTTATTAAAAATAAATAATTCTTGGGGCCGAAGCGACAGCACATAGCCCAATGGAGAGGGTGTTTGCCTTGCACTCAGCTGACCAGGGTTTGATCCCTGGCATCTCCTATGGTTCCCCAAGCACCACCAAGATTCCTGAGCACAGAGTGACCCCCAAACATTGCTGGGTGTGGCCCAAAAACTGAAAAAGTAATTCTTAACAGTACTTTTCTGATTTCTGAGTCCATTTTACTGAGTTTTGCGACTGAAGTCATAAGAAAATCCCCCAAATTTATAGTCAAAAGTAGGAATGGACCCTGTGAGCAGGCATCCAAAATGGGGCTTGGGGGTGACTGAGTCCTCAAAGGTTGGGAGTTTTTGAGAACTCCAGGTGTTTATGAAACAGCAGGAGCTGAGGTGTGGAGAGCCATCACTAAAAATCTCTGCCCATGGAAGAGGTAGCCAATCAGAGTGGAGAATGGGATGGCTGCGTGTGGGTTTTGGCAGCAGATGAAAAGGATGCCCCCAGCTCCATCTCTCCTGAGTGGCATTCTCTGGACTCCTCAGCAGTGATAGACACAGCACAGGAATAGAGAACCGTGCAGGGAAAGATCCTGACCTTCGTTCATGGGAAAGGAGTGTACTGCGTAGGACCAGGGAAGTCGTTCACTGGACCAGGCAGCTTCAGGGACAGGACCTGGTCATTGTTCATGGGACGGGACAAGCTCGGGACACTACCAGTGACATCATTCACTGGAGGAGAATAGACTGCGTGGCATAAGACAGGGAAGTTGTTCACAGGTAAAAGACATCTGGGGAGGAACCCAGACTCACCTACCTTTATTGTACAATAAACAATTTTCAGTCTTCTGAGTTTCGTATGCAAGTCTTTCATACAGTTCTCAATAACTGGAAAACCTGCTTTCCCACTAACAGCATTAGAATTGAATTGTATCCAAATTAAGATTGAAATTACCAATAAAATGTTCTTCTGTTCATCAAGAACTAAGTGTTCTTGCTAGGGTGTTGGTGTTTTGGTGTTGGGACTATATTGGGGGGAAGGGGGTTGATAAATACTGTTCAAGGAATTAGAGCTACAGTTTAAAGTTACACCAGTTGTTTATAGCATAACAGCTAGTTCTTTGTTCATTGGAAGTGACAAAAGTAAGTGTGATCATTAAGTGTTTGATCTTTCACTGATGATTATCATGTTAACTGCATTTTCACACATGGCATTTATTGGTGTAATTTCCACATATTCTTAGTTTGTTGAGTATTGGGGTTTTGTTCAGGGAGAGGGTGTGGGAATCACAGAGGGTGTAGGAGTCACACCAAGTAACTGCTCTGGGCTTAAGTTTAATATTGTGTTTAAAAGTTAGGGCCCCTGGAGAAGGGGCCAAGGTGGCAAAAAAGTGTACGCTGTAAATAGTACCTCGGAAAGTAACAATAGAAGCAACCAGAGGGCTCTGAAGACAGGTCTCACAGAGGAAGTGCATTGCAGTAATTAGCGAAGAGCTCAGAGTTTCTGTGCAGAGCTGCTATGCAATAAACAAACCCAATGGGGAAATTACAGAGTTGGGGGAGAAGTGAAGAAATTGATTAGATCCCTGCATCTTGAAAGGGCAAGCATGCCTTTCAAGTATGCAGTGGTTGATCTTGGTGGCACTGTGCCTACAGTGAAAACCAGGCTATAAATTTACCCAGTCTTGAATCTCCACCAGCACAATCTGGAAGAATAGGAAGCTGCACCTTGATAGCCAGTCAAGACAGTGGCACTCCCCGAGAAGAGATGACTGGTTAAAGAATTTTGGTACATATACACAATGGAATACTATACAGCTGTTAGAAAGGATGAAGTCATAAAATTGGCATATAAGTATCAAAATGAAGAGTATCAGGTGAAATGAATCAGAAAGAGAGGGACATACATAGAAAGATTGCACTCATTTGTGGAATATAAAGTAACAGAATGAAGACTTACACCCAAGAATAGTAGAGATGAATACCAGGAGGATTGCTCCACCGCTTGGAAGCTGGCCTCACATGCTGGGGTAAAAGGCAGCTCAGATAGAGAAGGGACCACCAAGTATGGGGTGCTTGGAGGGCCCACTCGGGATGGGAGATGCATGCTGAAAGTAGACATACAGACCGAATGATGGCCATTCAATACCTCTGTTGCAAACCACAACACCCATAAGGAGAGAGATAGAGCAAAAGGGAATGCCCTGCCACAGAGGTGGGATGGGGGGGATGGTGCAGGGGTGGGAGGGATACTGGGATCATTGGTGGAGAATGGGCACTGGTGAAGGGATGTGTACTCGATCATTGTAAGACTGAAACGTAAGCATGAAAGTTTTGTAAGTCTGTAACTATACTCCTTGGTGATTCATTAATTAAAAATTAATAAAAAAAATAATAAGTGGCACTTCAGGTGGGGCCAGTGGGCAGCACCAGACTGAGACCCTGGGAGTCATGTAGCACTAGCGCTATCCTAGCACTATCCTCCCGTTCATGGATTTGCTTGAGAGGGCTCAAGTAAACAACAAATTGTGAGACTTGTTGTTACTATTTTTGTCATATTGAATAGTCACAGGAAGCTTGCCAGGCTTTGCTGTGTGGGGGAGATACTCAGTAGCTTGCCGGGCTCTCCGAGAGGGGCAGAGGAATTGAACCCAGGTCGGCCATGTCGGCCGTGTGCAAGGCAAAAGCCCCACCCTCTGTGCTATCGCTCCAGCCCTTATGTATATATATGTGTGTGTGTATCTGTAAAAATATTTCCCTTTAAGATTGGTTGCCTCCTACTTTAAACCCCATCAAATGTGGTACGGTACTCTTGGAATGTGGGTGGTGTGAGGCCACGCAGTCCAGGAATAGGTTCACTCTGGGTGAGGCTGGGCCCAAGTGTGTGGAGAGCAGCCGTGAGCACGGCCGCGGTTGAGTTCTAGAGGTTTTCAGCTGTTGGGTCTGGGTCCCTTGGGGCGGGGAGGGGTCTCACCCTCCCCCCTCCGGGGTGCTCCAAATGAAACAGCCTGACACAGGGTCCTGTGGCGTGGTTATGGCATGTCCTGTTATGCTCCCTTCAGGGGTCACTTCTAAGCTGGAACAGCCCTAGAACAGCTGGATATGACCCATTGGCAACAAAACAATGAAACAAAAACAAATCAGGAATGAGTGAAAATGGAGCCAGCAAAGACCCTCAGGAAGATGCTCCTGCAAAAGAGCACAGAAAGCCCCCGCGGGGGGCGGCGGGCCAGCCCCAGAAGAAGATCCCTAGAAGCTGGGCCTGAGGGAACCCGGGGCCACCTGCACAGCTGGTCAGCCCCGGGCTTCCTCCTCCCCGCCTGCGGGATGAGATCTTGCTCGCTGCAGAGGCAAAGCTGAGCGTCCGCAGGGACAGGGACAGAGAAGCCACAAATCAGGGGCTCGAGCGACAGCACAAGTTGGGCGCTTGCCTTGCACTCAGCCAACCCAGGTTTAGTTCCCAGCGCTCCATAAGGTCCCCTGAGCCGGCCAGGAATAATCCCTGAGCACAGAGTATGGAGTAAGCCCTGAGCACCGTTAAGTATGACCCCAAAATAAATAGCCCCCAAAGTCACACAGCACCAAATACCTGGGGCTGGAGATTGAGCCACCCGGGTGGCCTGCTCAAGGTCGGGCTGGGACACTCCCTTAGCATCTTCTCGGGCTGAGCCCGGAAAGTCAGAGCTTCTCTTCCAGAGGCTAATTTTCATGAAAATCCCCCCCCCCAAAAAAAAAGTTGCCTTGGGCTCAGCAAGCCCATCTCCAGAACCAGCGCAGACAAGTAAATTAGCATTGTGGAGAGGCTCGTGGGACTGAGATGTTTACAGCAGCCAACAGGGAAGCAGCCACAGAAAACCCTGTGACAGACTCATTTTCATCCATTAAAAGCCTCAGGCCAGGGTCCCACCATACGCACAGGAGACGTTTGTCCGTAATAGGTGGCTGGCGCGGGAAATGAGAGCAGGGGCCCAGGTGAGAGCAAACGCTCCCGTGAGCCGTGCAGAGCCTAGGCGAGAAACGGGAAAGCACAAGAAGCGCAACCTGGGGACAGGCGGGTGACGCTGCGCTAGGACTTTCTGCTGTATGCAAGTCATGTATGCAAGACATGTATGCAAGAGTTTTTGCACTGATGTCATGTATGAGTCATGTATGCAATAGTTTTTGCACTGATTGTGCTGCGAAGTCGCAGCAACAGCCGGATAAGCATAAGCACATTAGTTGACTCCGGGTAGAATTCACTGTCACTGTCCTCCCGTTGTTCACCGATTTTCTCAAGCAGGTCCAGTAACGTCTCCAGTGTGAGACTTTGTTGTTACTGTGTTTGGCATATCGAATACGTTACAGGTAGCTTGCCAGGCTTTGCCATGTGGGCTCAATACTCTCGGTAGCTTGCTGGGCTCTCCGAGAGGGGCGGAGGAATCGAACTTGGGTCGGTCATGTTGGCTG